TCCAACAGTCTAATGGTCTATGTCATGGWCTTTCATGTGMGAGATRAGGTTTCAAAACCCAGCWAARMCAACTTTAACAAAAAATCTCTTCAAACTTCATATTGTCACTCAATTACCTTAATTACAAACACCTGCTGACAGGACAGGCACAAGCTGGTTTAGAAAACACATTTGAACTTGTCAAAGTTCATTCTGKWAGTCCAARGCTGCAGGCAAAGCCATGCTGCAATGACATGCTACATGGKAATGCACACTTGTTTTTACATTTTAAAAACCCATGTCTAGTTTACTTTTGTCTTTCAGTAAAATCAAAAAACAGTAGTTTGTCAGTTTGATGACTTGCTTTGATAAATCAGTTAATAATGGTTCACCATGAGTTGTATCTGAGCATGTTTGGTTCAGTTTTCTGCACTTTTCACTTTGCTTTTAGGCAAACTGACAMACAGCTTGTCAGAATGTAATATTTATATGCATGAGGTTGTGAGGCATGGATTTCTGTTTTTACAAGAAAACATTTCAAATCGAATCGAATGTAAACAGAAATATTGTCTAATTTGTGTTTTCCACAATTTATATATTTTTTATATAAATACAAGCTTTTACTGTGTTTACCAACCTAGTATTAAAGCACGTTTATAATGTAAACTGATTTATGTAAAATATTTATGATAGTTTTTGATCATGTGCAGCTGTTTTCATTTATAAAGCTTAACACCTGGAGGCCTTAATCCAGTTTCTTTACTCTTTTTTTCAAGTCTGTTATTAATTTGTCATAAAATCCAGATGTTTCAGTGCCACAAGTATTATGACAACATGTCTTACCATGAAGACATTTGTTTTAGAGAAACTTGGAAAATATAATTATTACTGCTACTACTTTAAAGTCTGTCCAAACTGTGATATTATAATTATGGTCCAGCCTTTGACTCCTTTTGTTTAACTATCATGCTAAAAACAATATTTTCAGTCTGTTGGCCAAAGAACAGAAGATCCCTTCACTCCAAATTTAAAGTTTGCTGCTGCTGGTATCAAATTTAACATGAAAATACATGGAAAAAATATTTTACATGTTACCTTTATAT